AAGTGGCAGGTCTAGAGTTCAAATCCCAGTGACGACGAAAATTTGCAATTCTTTCTGTATTATGGCTAACTGTCTTCTGTGATTGGTTGGAATAAGATACCTGTAACCTGTGTTATACCAGCATGACTGGAAGGTCTAAGGCACTCATACAACATTGTATGAAAGAACACAAACTGGTACCGGGCAGTGTGAACCCAAGATAAGTTCTTAGGCTGTATAAATCAAGAGAACCAGGTAGGAAGATGGAAGCCCACTTGGAAGACCTGAGTAGAGAGGTAACCTGAACCTTTGACGATGCTACTGTAAAGACTAGACTTATGAAACAGAGCTAGAACTTGTGAAACCAGGCAAATGTGCTAGTCTTTAAAAAGGGACCAGATGAACCAACTAGGCCACTGAAATTTCTGGGTTCCAGAGAAAAATGGCATATGCCGGCAAACATGTGACCCAGAGGTGTATGGTTTCGACCTACCTTTCTAAGCTATTTGGAATGGCAGCTTGGTGGAACTTGAATTGAATACCAAAGTAGTAAGGATATGTTATAAAGTCAGTACCAAGGTTGGAGTGAACTCTACAAGGGCATAGCAATTTAATGGTATGCCCTGACCGCCAGTGTTGGTCTCGGTCATAGCAATATTAGGTCAGCTATAAGAATGAGATACAGAAGATTCTGGAAGGTTTAGTACAAGGTCAAAGGTTTCCTATATGAGTGAACCACTTTAAAAACTTAGTGACCATGGCATATTTGAACCAGTATCGACTGGGGCATCTTGGTAGGTGTAGGTAGGTAGGTGGATACAGGAACAGAGTGGTTAAATAGGGAACCTACAAGTGGGTTCCAGGTATGACAGCTAGTGTAGAACCTTTGGGCAGACTACTTAAATTAGACAATGGCTAAAGTTGTACAAGTGCCTAGTTGTACACTCTTTCCATGGTTGCCTCCTGTGGTTGTAATGCAACTATTAGCTGAATGTACTATCAATAAAATCCTGGGTCACAAGTACTTACCTTAATATTTAAAAAAAAAAAAAACAATTATTAAATTACTATTTGAAATTAACGAGCTATGCTATAAACTACTCTGGAAACCATACTGTATAAACTTTTCAAATTGGAAAAAACAACAAGGTTTTAAATCTCCTTTTTCTAAATACTTAATTCAAACTAATCATAATAGACAAACTATATACAATTGCCAGACATATATATACTCATGTATATATGGACTACTAGACCAAGTATACTCAAACTCCAATACATACCCACTGCTTGGCCATGCTATTAGAAAAATCAATATATAGACTATTCTCTGGATCAAATACAATATCTCATTTAATTATATTTTAACTATTCAAATCTAGGTAAGTCTTGACCACTCTAGTAGGTTTAGGTTACAGATAAATATGTTTGAACTTTACTCTTAAATGTAGTTTTCTTCTTATTTGTACTTAAGTTAGTTATATATAGTTAATAGTTTAATGGTTAACCCTAACTACAAGTGTTAGCCTTGACCATAGCATTTATATATAGAATTATTTTTGTATATAGTAACTTTATGAAGTTAATAACCTTAAAAACTACTAATAAAGATATGTGCAAAACCTCATCTTAATACCAAAAAAAAAACAAAAACAAAAGTGTTAAAATAAATTAAGATTATATATATAACAAAATAAAAATTATATATAAAAATAAAATTTCAGACTAGTTTATTTGCAATCTAAACTAAAGTTTTAATTTTTTTTTATATTTTGTTGATTTTAATAATAAGTTATTAAGGATGTAATGACTTAGTAAAGCGAATAAGTTGTCAACCTTCCAAGTAGTAAGTAGTAAGTTCAAAACTCATCAATAACAAAAATTTGAATAATCATTTATATAATATATAAATAGTATTATAGCAATGGCATTTTGTTGATCAGTTGTTATAAGATACCTGTAACATGGTTGTACCCAAATTAACACACAGGTAAGTATTATTACGCAAAAAGACAACAGAAATTGTTTAAAAGCAATTAATATATTATCTAATGTCTCATTTCAATTTTGCACCAAATAAATCATGAAACTAAGATTATAATCCAGTTATTTTATTTGTTGGTAAAATATAAATTGTAATCTAATCTAACAACCAAACATAAAAATTGAACTGTTTCAGTTGCAGAATAAAAATTTAAGCACTCAATTAGCAACTTAATATGGTAAAGAAAATAATCTTCAAATTTTTCAAATAATTGCAAAGTGCGATCTTGTGAGTCCATTTGTATGGGATCTGATACCGACTCTACTTGTGATTCGAGTATGGTGAGAGACTTCATAAATTTTTCGGTATTGTTTGAAAAAAGAACACACGCAGAAGCCAACTTTGAATACGTCTGTTCAACAGTATATTTATTTATTTAATAATGATGTAACAGAAATATGAAAATTAAATTACTTACTCTCAATAGTTTTGCATTCGTTAGCATGCATTCCTTAAGGCATGTATCGAGAAAATCAGAATGATATTGTAATACTTGATCAACAGTAGATACCTTAATTTATAATGATTGAAAAATAAAGCTTATTACTATATCCCACGATAATAGTTATAAGAAATCTGAGTAAAATACCTTTGCTAGATTGGCCTCCAAATTTCTCCATTGGGGTTCTAGAACTTCATTGGTAATATAATATGCAAATTGTTGTACAAAAACCAGCATCCTTTGACGAAGTGCAAAAACACGACTTTTCCAAGCTTCAATGGTTGGATGACCTGACCCTCGCCGCCAATAAAATGACTTTGAATGTTCAATCCAAGTATTGCATAATAATTGTTCAACATATTTAAGATGAAGTAAATGTCTAAATAATAGTTGGTATTTGGTAAGAGCTTTACGAGAAATTACAAGAGACAATGGAAACGTCACTGTGTAATCTAAAGTGAGTGCATCAATTCCTATAATAAAAGTAAAAAAACCTAATTGAATAATTGATTAAATAATATGGGCAATATAATAGTCTAATGTAATTACAAAATCGTACCTGTTAACGGTTGCTTGCTACCTCCTACATTCCATACTACACCAACTGCATAACCAAATCTTTCACCACTTATAGAACCTTCCTCGGAACCTTCATTTTCACTTTCATCTCCTATCCTACTGATTTCTTTCCGACCCCCCAAACTTTCGCTAAAACTATTGGTTCGAGTTATTGGCGCCGTTTCTACGTTTATTATACGTAGTAATTGGTCTACCAAACGGACGGTACTCATCTCCACTTTGACATCTTCTTTAAACGGGTCAGTATATGCGACAGAAGAAGGATTACGAAGAACTAAGTCAAGTAGAGACTGAAGTTTGGTAAGAGAGACTTGACTAGATGGTTTTTTTAATTCCACTGATGCAAGATCAAGAAAATGTGTAAAAAAATCGGATTGATCAAGGAAAAAATAACGTTTTATCGATCTGGGTAAATATCGAAATTAGACATAAATATATACAACAATTATACAAAATAAAAAGTATTAGATTTTATACCGTAAACGAGCTATAAGCTGTTGATCTTTTAATAACAAATCCAATAATGTCCTATTTGCGCACTTATATGCATTCTCAATACTATCTACAAATCTAATTGTAGTATTTGCAAAAATCCACAAGCAAAGATGAATCCAATTACAAGTAGAAATACAAAATTATTACTAATATCATATTCCATAACACTAACCTTCCGCCATCCATAGCCGCCAAAATATCATTACTGACATTAATATCCGTTTTATCCACATTATCTTTGCCATCATCATCCATTGATTGTTGCTGTGGTACCTGTATTGCAATTCCACATTCCCGGATAACGTTAAGGTATTTTCCAGCTAATAATATTTTATTCCTAAACGGGATTAAGAATGGAGGGACAACATCTTCTTTAATAGTATATCGCATTTCCCAGTACGCATCATTGAAATCTTCTTTAAGGTCTTCCTTCCTGACGCCTTTTCGTTCTTGTACCATAAACTCCTCGTATGGGTCATGGATCTCACCATTATGTATCCAAGAATGTAACATTGTGACGTACGGTTGTGACGATTTGGAAAGTAGGTACATGTAAAGCTTTTTAGTCGCTAAATCTCTGAACATCGTAGAAAATATGCGTGAATGTATATGTACGTACATATATATATGTAAATTGATCACTTTTTCACTGATATTGTAAAAGGAAATTGTTGTTACCCGCTCATATTGGTCATTCGATCAATTAAGATACTCAATAAACCGCCACCTTTAACTTGTTGAGGTATATTATTACTACGATGAAATCCATCGATTAACATTTCAGTATCCTCCTCCATCGCATTTCGTGTCACATTTCGAATATCCATTATCAATGAATGCAAATTCGACATTGTGTGAAGTGTTGGATGTACGTAAAACCAGAATTTCTGAAGAGTAAACGTCGGGGATGAACAAAACTGATGCTCAAGTTGAGTAATTAATATGAGGTATTCCTAAGTGATACAATTACAACGAGTCCAGATTTGCGCTATAATTTTACTATGCATTAACGTAGAAATATGAAAAGTGATAATTGTTTAAATAAATATATCTGCTGATAATGCACCTTTAATAATTCTCTCATTGCGGCACATAATGCGTGATTTACAAATCCGTACTCGAATTTTGAGTGCATCTCAACGAAAGCGTTTATGGAGGTATAATATGTTGCAAGTGGTAATATGCGTTCGGTTAAATCTTTTAACGATGGATCTGATAAATTTTATCCCATTAGAATGCATAAAAGGTATTTACAAATAAGTGACTTAAGCAAATAATGTAAACCTAAAGATCCATCCACCGAATAAGTAACGCCATCCGATTGTTGTTCATCTTCAGTAAAATCCTCAGATAAATTCGCTTCAATATATTTTCCCTCAATTCCCTGAAATTATTCCAATCACGTAAAAATTTTATAGAGAAATCAAGTTCATTGCTTCTGTCATTGCAACCAGCACAACTCAATAGTTTGTTTCGCGCACCATCATTACAAACAATAAATCTTCTATAATAGCATATTCTTGTAATTGCAAAGGTAATGATCCAATTTTTAATTCTTTGTCATTATTGTCGCGCTATTCATAGTAAAGAAATATAAATGAATAGCTGTTGTATTAAAATTCATGTATTGCTATTTTAAAATAACTCGCACCAGCGGAGACAGCTGAAGAACTCTAGAATTTAAAGGCGCGTTTATAAAATCATGTTCTTCGTGAAATGATTTAGTCGTATAACCTTATACAAAAATATATTCTATATAATCAATCGTAGATAAGTTATTAAAAGTACTTTTAAATACAAACCATTTATCAGACGTGAGGCAAATGACGTGGATTTTAGTGGATTCGTACGTAATTTGACCTGTCTAATATTCGCTAGTTGGGCAGTGAGCTACTCATTGAATCGGTATATAAATTTCCACGTTTAAAAATACGTATATTGTGAGGTAAAAATTTCTACAAATGCCATAAATTCAATGATTTAAAAAGGTTTCATTTATTCACCTTGTTAACTTGTTGTTCGGTGAGTAGTCCTTTCGACATTTGAAAGTTGTTATGAAAAGAATATGTATAAAAAATTACGTGAAATCCTACGCTTTACTTATTTGTGCCGGTAATACAAACTTCTAAAAAGGAAATAGCCAATAAACAAAATTGAGATTCTAAAGATTCTAATAATATAGTGTATATTTATTGAACCAGTATTCCATTACCCGGGTCAGAAAATACCGACCCGGGTTATAACCCGGGTCAAACGGAAATTCATAAAGTTAATTCATAAAGTTGATGTAGCGACTCTTAATTAGAGCTGTTAGTATAGAGAACTAGTAGACTAGAAAAATGCCCGATTCCGTGATCACCGATCCTTCCGAATTAATATTTTATTATCTAAATTTACAGCTGTTCTCATAACGATAAATTATCTGCCGAATTCGTTAAGTTTTTGAATTCGGTGTTATCGAATTACTGTAATGCCGAAAATCCAATTCCGATAACACCGAATTCAAAAACTTATCGAATTCGGCAGATCAATTGTCCCAGAATTCATGAGAACAGCTATAATTGATTTTTATATAAAAAAAAGGCCATCGAATTTAGTTGGTTGATTGTCGAGATATCTTTGCCGCAGTTAACATTTTGATAGACGTTTCTAATTTTCTCAAGACTTGAATGCAGATATCTCAACAACCACCTAGTTAAATTCGATGAATTTTTATTTATTTTTGATTTTACGAATGCATATAATCAAAATAAAAAAAAAGTTCATCGAGTTTAGTTGGGCGGTTATCGAAAAATCTTCGCTTAAAGTTCCAAAAATCTTTACCGCAGTTAGCAATTTAGGACGTTTCTAATTTTCTCAAGACTTCGGGCGAAGATATCTCGACAACCACCTAACTAAATTCGATGAATTTTGATTCTATGAACGCATGGAATCAAAATAAAAAAAAAAGATCATTGAATTTAGTTAGGTGGTTGTCGAGATATCTTTGCTCAAAGCTTTAAAAAATTTTGCCGTAGTTAACATTTTTAATAGACGTTTCTAATTTTCTCAAGGCTTTGAACGAAGGTATCTCGACAACCACCTAGTTAAATTCTATGAATTTTTATTTTTATTTCTACGAATGCATATAATCAAAATAAAAAAAAAGCTTATCAAATTTAATTAGGCGGTTATCTAGATATCTTCGCTCAAAGTTCCAAAAATCTTTACTGCAATTAGCATTTTGAGACGTTTCTAATTTTTTCAGGACTTTGAACGAAGATATCTCGACAACCATCTAACTAAATTCGATTATACATGTGGTCGAAATGTTTCGACCATTTCGGCCACTTGGCAAATGTTCAAAGTAAAATTATCAATAATTTGTAAATATGATAGAAATTAAGCTTCATATATGTTAAGCTAGATCCGCAAAACCTTATGCAAGCCCTTTTTGTATTTCGGCAAGACTTTTTGATATTTTGGCAAACTCTGGAAGTTTCGGCTGTATATTAAGTACTGATTTTCGAAAATTCCAAAGTCTGTCAAAGTACCAAAAGGTCTTGTCAAAATATGAAAAAGGCTTGCATAAGGTTCTGCAGATTTGGTTTAATATATATGAAATCTAATTTCTATCATATTTACAAATTATTGATAACTTTGCTTTGAATATTTGTCAAGTGATCGAAATGGTTGAAACATTTTGGTCACATGTATAAATGAATTTAGTTAGGTGGTTGTCAAGATATCTTTACTCAAAATTCTCAAAATCTTATTGTAGTTAGCATTTTGATAAATAATTTAGAGTTTATTTTTTAAAATTCATAAATTCAAAGTTATTTGAATTTAATTTTTTTTTTGGCAGCTCCTACTTGAATTATTATCTAGTATCATCTTGGGAATCAGCAAGTCTGTTATTAATTTAATCCAACTTTTATGTAATCTATGGTGGTTAAGTTGAAACAGGCATGTTAGATTTGGCAGGTGGATTGTAGATAAGTGCTGATCTTCTCTATTGAGTCTTTCTTTCAATCTATTTTTATTCTAATTCTTATCTTCTTTTATTGTTGCAATTTAGGATTACATTACATCAAATCAGAGTTGAAATTTTTCTCTTTATGTTACAGTTTATTAGACATATAACTATAATAAATGATTGCTTATAAATTTTTAGTTATTTTTAGAAGATAAATAGTATTAGTAATAGGGTTAACAATAGTTACTAGTTGTATAAAACAACACCTTCATTTTTATTATGGGTTGGATGGTTAGTTTTATGTTCATAATTACAATTACTTCTTTTTTGTCTGAATAAATTGCTCTTTATTTATAATAAACTTGTTTATTTACATTATGAATTTATCTGGTATATTGAATATATCTAATTTATTATATATATCACTCTATTTAATATATTACACTATGATGTAAATCATTAACTCTTTTTAATGATTATTTGTACCAAAATTCTTTAATAATAAACTGACAATAATTAAATAATTTATTAAATAAATCTTCTCTAACCTCCTAAGTAAAATTGTTCACAACTAAATTTTACATATAAACAGCTTATTTTTATATTTTCTAAACCTCTATACAGTAAGATATATCTATTAAATTACAAAATACTTTATCTAAAATTTTTTAATAATCTATTAAGATAACCTTAGTTGTGATCTTAAACAAAAAGACAGAACTTACTTAGAACTTCATTTTGATTAATATTGAATTAATATTGAAGATTTTATACAAAAAACTTTTAAAACTTCTCTACAAAACTTTTGTTTTTTTTTTATAAAAAAATTTTTTTTTTTTGGAAGGTGCTGTATTCTAGGATGTTTAGCACCTGCAGATTATTATCAAAAATTATATTATTTATTAATTTAATACAAATTTTAATTTTTTTCTATTTTTGGATTGATTAACTAATACAAAAATTTGTTTAATATCAATCATTATAATCACTTAGCCTGCATATTCTATGTTACTTATTTGTTACATTCTCTTATTTGTTATACTACTTTACTCATCACATCCCTTATTTGTTATACCCTCTTAATTGTCATATCTCCTTAATTGTTATATTCTATATTTTTCAGATCTTTTTATATCCAAGACCTTTATTATCTATTTTGTTTTTAATTATCAAATCTTAAACTATGTCTATTTTAGTATCTAATGATTCTAATTCCTATAATATTGACTACTACTATGATAAATATAAAGATCATCATAGTATAAAAATGATTGAAAAAAAACCTTAATCTCTATATGTACTTTTAACAGATATTAATCCAATCAATTGTAATACTACTAAAAAACATTATTATTTTAAAGTCTCTTAACAACTTATTATTGTTATATGTTTTTGTAAAACATATCATACTAGTTTCATTTCTTAGTTTTACAAAATTTCTTACTTTACTTCTCTTAGACAACCTATAATTTAAACCTTTTTTATTATCTTTGTTAATTATTTTAGAAAAATTTCTGATGAATTACCTCAATCATCTATTCCGAAACAACAACAATCTGATCTATCTTTTTCTAAACCTCATATACTATTTTTCAGTTTTCAAATAGATCTTACACCTTCTACAATTGTTGTATATTCTCAACACTACTATACATGTTTTATATATAGAACTAAAAATATTCCTTGTATGACTATAAAATAAAGTAGCCATGCACTTAACTATACAATCTGCACAATTTTTAAGTAAAACCTAATTCACAGACTTTGTATTATTGGTTTATTAAATATTAAACTTAAATCTTTAGCACAAACCTTTCATCTTATATTCCAATAGCAAATTGTTACAGCCTCAATTAAATCCAAACTAATTAGCTTAAACACTCAAACTTTCTTTTCTAATTCTAAAAAAACAAATTATTCTTCTTCTTAGTTTTAAACAAAAGCTAATTCTTGCTCTTATTAAAATCCAACAAATGAAATCTAATGAAAAAATCTAACTTCTCAAATTCTTTCTTTTAAAGAAAAACAAAAAATAATAGCATTCCAAACAACAAAATTAAAAGAAAAAAGAAACTCAAAGAGATATTAACAATAACTTTAACTAGTTTAAAAAATATCCAGTAACTGATACTATGAAAAACAATACCAAACTCAATAATTCAATTGCCTAACAACTATTCATTTTTATTAAATCACATCTTATTGACAACTATTCAGGAAAAATTATTCAATCAGCATCTGATACAAGTCCTAAATTAAAAATTAATTACAAATATTTAATTAAAACTTTAACAGACAAAAGATCCAAATTCTTAACTGATTTTATCTATGAAGCAAACTCTTCAATTGACAAATCAATATCTATTCTATTTGAATTAATCCATTCTACTTTCATCTCTCTTCTTAAAAAATTTATTATAACTTTATTTACTCAATTGAACTATCCAAAAATTTTTGTTTTCTAGAACTTTATTTTTCCATATATCACCACTAATTAGAAACAAGTAGTTCTTAATTTGGCTTACTTATACCTTATTCTTTATAATAAATATAAAACTATTCATGCAAAAAAGTTTTATAAAAACCTTAAACTTTATTCTATATACTTTAAATTACATTATAATTTCAATGAAGACAATATTAATCAACCATTTTTTAAAATTTAAAATGATAATATATTTAATATTAATATTTTTTTTAATATTTCTAAAAAAAGATTTCTTCAAACTTTTCAAATTTCATCTTTAAAAAATTATCTACCAGAATTTAAAGCTTAGTTTAAAAAAATTTTTAATATTTATAAATAACAATTTTATAATATTGATTAGGAAAAAACATTCAACTATATCAAATACCAAATTACTCTTAAATTATCTAATACATGCAAAGCTTTTTTACTCTTTAAATTTAAAATTACCTCTATTAATTCTTTACAAGAGTACTTTAAATTATATTTCAAAGCAGCTCTATATCATATTCATACTTGTATAGTTGAAAACTGTACAAATCTATCTAAAGATATAGAACATAATATTAAAAACTTATCTTCTCTTTTTTTTACTGACTCATATAATTATTTTTTAGCTC